GACAGTACAACATCAAAAATGTAACGCCCTGATACTGTGTTATAAATTACCTAAATTTAGCACATTAGGCCAGTAAGGCTTGTTTTTATCCGAGTCTCATTAGAAAAAAAAATTGATTGCATAAAGCTCTGTCCACACAAATAAATGTGGTATGCCTAAATTTGGGTTTAATATGCCCATATTTGGATGTGATATGCCCATATTTGGGTGTAATAAATCATCAAGCCTATATGGGCACATCACATAACATTTTCTCATACAATTTCATAGTGTGGAGAGAGTTTTAGATATGCAATTCAGTGTTTTACAATTTGTAATGCACCTCTGCTATGACTAGCCTTCCCTCCGCTTGCTAACATTTTTTTGAAACCAACCCGCCCTCGTATAAACAAAACAAACTATATTTCAATAATTTCAAAGTGGCATATTCTGGCATATGAATAGTACACAATTATGTATAACAAAAAAAAATGTTTAATATAATAATAATATTGAAAAAATAATATCAGTGATAGCTTGTGATGCAATACACATGTCTACATCCTACACAAACCTTAAAACGTTCGTGAAAGTAATCATATTTGGGAAACTTTGCACATGTTGAAATCTTGGATCGTAATCTTTAATATTAAATAAAAGATTGCGATATCTGCCTGTATTAAATTAATTTGCGCAAACATTGAAGACATTCTTTTATCAAGCAACTAATTAGACACACGCTGTTATCATGAAAGAGGTATGATTATCTTTACTGAAAAATAAACGAATAACAATATTTGTCTGGGTGGTAAACGTAAAGAAGCAAACAGTTATCTCGAATCTCGAAATGGCTGCAAGGCTGCACCTGCTCCTGAGCCTGCTGGTTTGGCAGCTTTCATCGTTCTGTGTGCATTCCTGGACGCCTGCTGGAGTGAGTTTTGTCGGCATCGGTTACAACATACTAGATGGTAATCCTGATGGAGGAGATCCTAATGCAGGAGGAGTCGATCCAGGGCTGTTAGTAACCAGAAGGATATTAGAGTTTAGTTATGAAGACGGTAACCTTTCAGAGGATGGTATTTACCCGATTCCCGATGAAGTCCTTTTTAGCCCAAGAGATAGCTGTTCGGAAGTAGAAACAACCGAGATATTTGAAGGAACAAAAAGTTACCAAGAAAAGTTAGAACGAGATATTGATTATTCTTGTGAGTTGTTTTAAAATTATTTAGGGATATGTTGAGGTTTGTTGTAAATATAAATAGGTCTAGTAGAATTGCACGTTATAAAAAGAGAATGATTAGGCTACATATTACGGTAACAGATGTACCCAAGTTGTGGGGGATATAGTAGAAAGGGTCATTCTGAGAGATTATTTCTATGTCATTCTAAAATAACATCATGCATGACCGATCATAATGTTAATTTTTTTACCTAAGCATATCACAAGGTTTATGAAAAATTTGTCCTCTGATACCTAATAAAAGACCAAAATACAATTCTGTCGGAGTCCCATTTTAATATTTTTTCTTCTTTTAATTTTAGTCTCAGGCGATCACATTCTGCTTGGTTATCAATTTTCTAAAAGTGGAAGTAAGTGTATTGCAATTACATACTTTATTTAGAATTAAACTAATATAAGTCTCAGAGCGCGTCCACATATTTAAATCAGTGGCATATCTAAGGGTGCGGAGGCGGGAGCGTACGCTCTTCCCACAAATTACTCGCCCCTACCCCAGTCGTGTCTCCAAAAATAAAAAAATATATAAATATTTAAAAAATATGAAAAATCACCTAAAATCACCACGTAAGATAAGATATAAGGTTACTTTTTTTGTCAGATTCCTCTTAACTTATATTATCCATTGCATTATTCTGCTTGTTATTTCTGTTTCTTTTTTCATATGCCTTGAAATCATACCGTAAGATATAAATATATTGATTTTTAAAACAATATTTGTAAAAAAAATATTAAGTACGAAACAATGTTATGATTTCTAGGATATGAAAGAATCTATGAATCAACCGAATACCAGAAGAAAGTCTTCCATGATTATAAAAAGGTGTGTAATAAAGGACAAGCCAGGTACCTGACTGAACTTGCTGCAATTGACGGGTACGAGTTAGCCAGGGATTTTGTGGCATCAGCTTGTGCCCTACCAGAAGTTTACGACGAGGCAGAGTATATGAATTTTCTGGATTTGTGGGGAACGGTAATGAATAATAGATAATTCTTTTATTCTACTATTTTTTTTTTCTAAATTTTATAATTCACATTTTTTTTTTCATCTTCGCTTGTTTCTCTTCTTTGTTATTTTCATACTATTTTTCTTTATCGAACTGAAACCAAATTCTCGGAACACATATTGTTTACGTACCTTCTACCTAATCTTCGTTATTCCTGTCTTCATGAAATACTTTTTTCTTTTGATAATCTTTTTTATCTTCATCTTTTCCATCGTCATCTTTTCTTCTTCCTCGTTATCCTTATTTGATTCTTTTTAATTTCCTACCTTCCTATTCTTCTTTGCCATTTAGTTACTGTGCTGTATCATTCTATTGTTGTAATACTTGTCAACGTATTTATGCCCATAAAGTCAAAATGGCTTTACACAATTATTACTTGACCTATTACCTATATCGGTAGCTTCAGCGATGTAGGCCTAATTGTAGGCATTTAAACAAAGTTTATATTTATACTATACACCCATTTTGAAGTTTTTCTATCTTATTTCTTTTAAAGGATATTGTCGTTGAAGTTGACCTAGGAACCAAATTATCGAACCGATCTGAGATCTATCAAACAGACTTTGTTTTCTACGCAATGAAAGAGGTTCGTTTTGATTATTGTACAACACCGTAACTAATTCCAGACCACACGACAGTTGAAAGTATATACTGCTTTCAAATACCAGCTTTATATTAATTTTTTTAAATTTCAATTTTGTTACAGAAGAGTAATACCGTCTCCCCGGGTGGCAACTTCCTCACTTACAAGGGGTCTGTTGTGGTGGACATGAACAAATTCCGTCAGGAATCTGGACAAGAGACAACTTTCGGTTCGTATCAAGAACTAATCTCTGTTGGCACTCCCGATCTACCTGAACCAATCTCCGTCAAGCTAATGTACATTTCCGATGTATTTCATTCTAAATATTGGAGCCAAATTGACAGCTACGTTAGCAGCGGATCTTGCAATGCTGACCATTCCAGTCAGTTGGCCGCCAAGAAACAGAATGTTTTCACTGCATTGACCAACTACGGAAAATGGAGGAATGCTCTTATCTCCGATGGTAAGTCATCGACACTAGGACGACCAGCTTTATACTATACAAGAATATTTAACGTATTTATTCGAATAAATGCTCCGGGGTGTTTATTGTTGAGGAAGTTTTTGAGGTGGCATTTATTTGAGGAAGGGGGGGGGGGGGGGGGGGGGGGGTTTATTTTTTGGTGTAAAATGGATACGTATATACTCAAATAAACACTTACTTAATTTGACTGTAAACATGTGGAACTGCAACACATTATTATATCAAATATGCTATTGTGTGTCCATAAAGACTCACTGATCCCAACCAGGTTAGAAGCAATGTAATTATACTTGAGTAGAACATTAACAGTATGTGCTTGCCCAGGTCCCCATAGGCGGCGAGACATCGGAAGCATTCCGGGTTGCGCAAGGTGTGAAACAGGGTTGCCCGTTAGCACCTACAATTCTTACAGTTTTCTTATCGGCAGTTTTAGAGTTCACCAGCCAACATCTTGCGGAATGAGTCTACATCCGCACCAGGGTGGGCAAAGTCTTCAACTTGGCTCGACTAAAGGCCAAAACCAAAGTCCACACTGTTCTTGTTCGCGAGCTGTTGTATGCTAATGACATCGCCAATGTTGCACATAACTACAATGATTTGCAGAACATTTTTGATATATTCAGCCGTGTTTCCAGTGACCTAAGGCTGTCTATAAATGCTTCGAAATCTCAGGTTGTTTTCACACCTTCTACATCACCCAAAAACATACCTTCAGTTCTGTTCAACAACACCCCCACTGACTATGGTTGACACTTTTACTTACCTTGGGAGTTCTATAGCGGCGGACGGCACATCGACTCTGAGATCCATGCCCGAGTTAAGGCGGCTTGTGCAGCTTTTTCGGGTCTGCGCCATCGCCTTTGGTCACAAAGAATCATCCATCGCTGCTCGACGAACTGGAAGGTATATCGTAGGCCTACCGTTGCTCTCGCCAATCTTTTGTATGCAGTACACAGTACAGACCTGTACACTGTATCAACGTCACATCAAAAATCTGAACCAAGTACAACTTCGGCATCTCCGTCACACCCTCGGCAGGACAGAATCTCAAACATCAAGGTTCGTGAGCTAGCTAGCATGCCAAGTGTCACAAAGTTGATTGAGGAACGTCAGCTCAGATGGATTATCCATGTCACCATGATGGAAGAACCACGGTTGCCAAAAGCTGTGTTCTATGCAGAGCTCCAAGTGGGTGAGAAATGTCATGGATGACCGAAACTTAGCTACAAAGACACACTGAAAAGAACTCATAAAGCATGTAACATTAATGTTAGTACATGGGAGGACTCCGTTCCCAATGGAAGCAGATTATCCACAGAGGCACAACAGTGGCAGAAGATGCTTGTTTTTTTACAGCTATTGAGGCAATATGTTGCTACAGACCCTAGCTAGTGTGTAATCGATGTGGACGTGTTTGCCGTGCATGCATTGGCCTCCTGTCACATATGAAAGCCTGTAAAAAAGATGAGGATGCCCTGGTCGATACGACTGGCTACAATGATGATAATTATACTGGAGAAGAACATTAAGAGTAGGCCTACGTGTTGACAATGCTTCCATTAGTTTTGTTTAGTCATTTAGGGGAGGGGGAGTTTATTCGAGGGAATAAATAAACGGCCCAGAGCGGTTTTTTTTTTTGGGGGGGGGGGGGTGGAGGACGGGCACGTTTATTTGAAGGGCGTTTATTCAAATCGGGGCGTTTATTCGAAGAAAGACAATACTTGAATCACATGTATGCACATGGTAATTATAGTCACTCCATATTCATCGTGCTATGTCTATTAAAAAGTAAATATCCTGAATCTATTATCGTGAAAATATACATAAATATAGCCTGATTAAGGACTAGTTCACACGACAGTGGTATGCATCATACTGGCGAGTTGTTTGGCCGAGCGGTTAAGTCAGGGGCACCGTAACCTTCAGCTCTAATATCGACGCTGGTTCGAACGGCTCCAATGGTTCCTTTGGTGGAACAAGTCTTCTCGGATAACGACTTTAAACCGTAGGCCCAGTGTACGCATTTGGCTCGTGTGCACTTTAAAGAACCCAGTACATCCTTCGAGAAGAGTAGAGGGTTACCCCAGTTTACTGGTCCATTAAGTCCCCTGATGTTAAATGGATATATCCACGCAGGACAGTGGTTAAGTTCACTTATTGACATATCCTTGGCGCTCGTGCCTAAATAAATGAAATGAAAAATGAAAAGTAAGAGAGTGTGACGCAAACACAGGAAGTGGCTATTCTAGTATTATTTTATTCTGTCTTCAGAAAAAGTTGAGTTGTGTTTTTGACCAGAGTAATTTGATTGGGGTGACTGGCGTAGTAGTTTGCTTAACAATCGGTTCACATTTGAATAGTCAATTTGACGCACTGATGCTAACACAATGTTAGTAGCTATAAACGTAGCGTGAGGAGTACAATTTTGCTTTAAATCTGCACGCATCTATAGTGCGCAGATGGCACTCTTGAACTTTGTGGACTTAAAAAAAAACGTTTTCATATTTGTAGATCCTCCAGTTCAGATTCCAATCACATGGCCAATCGGCACATACTCTCTCCCGATGGTGGAATCTAAAGGTACCGGTTGTCCCGACAGTCACTTCTCCTGGAAGGCTGGGTCGAGATTCCAGGACACTGAAAACTATTTGTCTGACAACCACTGGTCCGATCCCTGTCACCTCAGAGTAAGTACTTTCATGTTTTTGTTTTGTTTTGTTTTGTTTGTTTGTGTGTTTGTTCTTTGTTTTTGTTTTATTTTTTTAAAAGTTGAAGTAACTACTATGCCTATGAAGAAAATGTGTATTGAATGGTTAGGCTATTCCTTGACCTAATTCTGGTGGACGATCATTTTCAATCGCAGCAGAAATTGTTGTCGGGGATTTTGTACGTAAACCAGTGCCATTGTGGAACATAGCACGTGCTTTTGTTGTTCCCACGCGTATTCATGGCACTGTTCTGATTGGTCAGTTGTTAAGGTTGACTGACACTACGGAAAGGTCAATGTAGCTACTGTACGTACATTATTATAACAAACGCACTGAGATTATACTGCTTTAACATTTTGTATGAAATAACATATTTAAAAGCTTCTCTCTCAATAATTAAAATTGTCATGATTTTTTTTCCAAGATTTATAATTTTTCTTATCATATACGGTAGGGACCTTACAAGAGAAATGACATCACTCAGAATTTCTGCTCCAAGACGGTGGAATACGAAGACAGCTATCAATGGGAATGGGGAGAGGGTACTTATTGTATCTTCAAGAAAGGGACATCCTGTCCAGCAGGTAACTTCTTAATAAGCTAAGCTTACGTCACCTTTGCGACTTGACATAATTTAACTAAACTCAAATTGTTATAGTTTACCTATTCGAATGCTATAATTCTGAATAGTGGCGCGATCGTGGATGGAAATAGATATAAATAATAGGGATATAGAATAGAATATTTAAGTACAGTATTATCATGAATTCGTTGTTTCGTCACATCTGTGTTAATATTGAAAAGTAACGAAATACTGACTCTTGAAGGTTTTGACGAAGGTTGGATATACTGGAACGACGAAAACACATTTAACAGCAACTGGTTAAGTGGCGAGCTACCAACCGGTATCTACGACGAAGATACACAGATCTATTTCTGCTGCCGTGAAGACGGTTTTGCTACTAATCCAATTTACATGCCCATTGATGACGTGTTCTTCCTGTTCAAGAAAAATCATCTCTGTCAAGAAGTAGCCGGCATGACGTACGTAGAGGAGTACATGGAATGGGATAACGAAAACGAGATCTTCGATGGAAGAACAATGGGCGGGTCTTATCCATATAACACTGACAAGTCCGAGAACCACATATTGCATTATTGTTATTACTACCCTAAAGCCTAAAATAATTTTCTTTTATTGCATTGTTAAGCCTACTCTAATATGACAACGTTATTGAATCTACTTTGTATAATCCTATATTGGCCTAATCAAGAAATCATAAACGATTGTTATAGACAAATACCCAATCAATTTATTTATTTTTATTTATTTTTTATTTAAAACATTTTTAGGCAGGATAACATATACAGGCGAGATCTTACCGCTGTTTTATGGTCCTGCAAACACATAGTACAATAAATCAATAAAGATGAGTTATAAAACTATATATATCAACCAACCGACGAATCATGTAAAAATCATGTAAACGTAACGCCGTTAAATAAAGATATTTTACAATCGAAGCAGTATTTGTTTTATGTTATGGGTAGGGCCTATTAATTTCGAACTACTGACATTGTGAGGTAAAATAATAGGAACTAGCATTGTCTTGCTGGTGATAGTGGTGTAGAGTGTTGTATAGATGAATAATGTAATAAAACCAGAACAAGTATTTCATTTTTTTTAACGGCTCATTTTATAGTTATAGTAATGTAACTACATGTCTCCCTCTGATAGACCTTCCGCTAAGCCCCGCCCTTTGGATATTGTTGCTAAGGTCACACGAAACAATAGGGAGTTTTCGCAAGCTTACGAAAACGGTTACCTCATCACATTTTTAGACAACTTCCCCCCACAGTAGCTTAGCTATCAAAACGTAGATTTATACCTTTTGCATGAATCCATGGGCGCAAATCATACGGGAAGGAGGACGACGACGGGGGACACGTTCCCCCACATATTTTTTAAGGGGGGTTGGTCCCACATATTTTTAAGGGGGATTGGTCCCCCTCACATTTCGACCTCAATGTAATTTAATAATTACAGATGATGCCTGAAAGTTGTTGAAATAACTGCATAAATGACCCAGTTTCAACGAACAACAAGCCCGAGTACAGTACTGTTACAACTTATATTATAGCGAGATACCGGTATCACTAACGTCTGAATTACCTATAATACACGAATCGAATGCGCGTGCTTTTGTTATACTGTAATTTGAGAAAAGTAAGAGAAAAAGTATAAGGTATTCGGCACAGGAAATAGGTAAAGTAAATACATTAAAGATAATCAAGTTTTATTTCCTATGGTACAATACAGATTAATAAGTTCTCTATGATAGCCGAAAATCGCTGATAAAAGACCGTGGTGATGTTATAATGAGGACTTTTACTATAAGAGTGTCATTTCCAGCCAGCTTGAGGTACTATTTCCTAAAATGTTCGCATCTCAGCCTCAACCATGGTGGGACTGAGGTGGGTGTGGACTCGCGGCTTTGAAGAAGGTAAAGTAAATACATCAAGACAACGTTTTTGAAGTTTTATTTTTAACCGGTTAGGCCTACATCAAACGTGTTAATTGGATCGCTATGATTGCCGGAAATCGCTGACAAAAGATCATGAGAAATTTGTTGGCACTTCATTTTTACTATAATGGTGATGTGACGATAACGAATTTTAGTACATAAAGAGTGTCATTTCTGGCCATCTAGAGGTACTATTTTCCCACTTCAGCCCCAAACATGGTGTGGCTGAGATGGGTGTGGACTCGCGTCTTTGAAGTAGGTAAAGTAAATACATCAAAGACAATGTTTTTAACTTTTATTTTCTATGCTGGGGAGGATGCAGGAGCGAGATGGGTGTCACCAAATGTCCCCCCATCTATCAAAACAGATTTGCGCCCTCAATCAAGGATCATATTCAGCTCATACAGCACATTGTCAAGAATGCTTTAGGCATGAATGACGATAATGATAATTACATATTCGTTATCATAAGGTTGAAAAATCTCCGTATTAACGTAAATATACATAAAGACGTGCGATTGTATTCCTGGTTATATTTTGATTGGTCAGTTGTTGAGCTTGATGGACACGCCTGAAATGTCTACCTAAGGCCCCGTTTGGGAGCAAGCTTGTCATGGTCTTTAGTGGCTTTGGTCTACAGAAAAACAATATACATAAATGCAAGTGTTCAACTGGAGTTTCAAAAAAGTGGTCCTTTATCAGCGGTGTTCTGTAATCAGCGACTGTTCATATCCTTCACCATCTATAAAAATTATATTATAATTCTTTCGTTACCATCTGTTTCAACTTTTATTTTTTGCACAACGAAATATTTTACAAAAAAAAAGGACAAAAAAATACATGTATTCACAGGTTATATTTATCAAATTGCAACATTAAGAATTTCCAATATTACAATGCAAAGTTTATGTAGTTACCATGTTAAGATTAACTTAATTTGAATATACCTACCTCATTGGTGGGAGTTCGTACTACAGTATATGGTTTTGAAATAATTTATCCTAAATTTCGTATTAACTTGAAATCTTTACATAACGACATAATTTGTGAGAATAAAAGTGGTATTTTTGTAAGGTATTTTCATTTACAAATTACAAAAGTCTACATAAATAATAAAATAAAATGGGGGCTCAATAACCTCTGTCATAAGTGATATACTGTATTATTATACATGTTAGCGGTCATCGGGAATATGATAAACTATAGTTCTGATTTAACGGAGACAACTGGATCGCAGTTCAACATGCTTAGGATAAACAACATATCCTGGGATAATTGGTAGAGAAAATTTAATGAAGTACAAAACTAAATCCAAACTAAATTGCATTGCTTTCTCTTTTAATTATTTATAACAATTTCATGTTATAATTTATTGAGATGAATTTGGGGACCATTTATAAAAATCTGAATAATAGCTTCAATAAACATAAAAACACTATTAATTTGTAAATTGTAATATTTTAATCATCCAGCATACCCTTCCAAATTCTTTAATAACATAATTATTAAGTATCAATTTTAAAACAATTTTTATTTCTATTTCATAACCAAATAACGTAGCACAAGGTACCCACTGAATACTTGGTTATTTCCACGATAAAATTTATTTTCAATTGCGTTTCTAATATTTTCGTAAGAATGTACTGAAAGTTTGATACATATTTCAGAAGGTCGCAAGATGCGCACAGAACAAACTTTGCTGGAATAGAGTCAATCATCCAGCATACATTATGGATGCAGTGATAACTGCCAGTGTTTAAGTTGCAAAATTCAATAATACGAATGGATGAGGTTCAACAAACTTTTAACAAGCTAGTGTATAGTCACAATACGGCATGAGTATTTGGCTACAAATGGCGAGTGTATTATCAACATGTTTTCAGACAAGATAAACAATAACTGGCTCAATGCTTTCTGCCTGTTTTGAATGAAAATTAATGACTTGCTTCAATTAAATCAGTTTTCTGAAGCAGGTACTGATATATCTGTTTAAACTTGTTAAGTTTAACTGTGTTGTTCACACTTTCATTTCAAGTGTATCTGTCCTCTCTGATCCAGAAAAACAACATCCAATTTGTTGATAAGGTAAAAAAACGAATAGATACTTTTCAGAGAGAATTGAAATTTTTTATGTGACCTTCCAAACTATTCATCACTTCAAGTGTTTGCTTTTCTTTCTATGAGATTTACTGCGGTAAGGAGAGTAGGATCGCTTTGACGGAGACCGCGATCTTGACCTTCGTGGCCGCCTATTAGGAGACCGAGAACCTGACCGCTGTAACCTGTGTGACCGATGTGTTTTTCGAGATGGGCTTCGTTTGCGAATGTTTGGAGAGTCGCTATATGATACAGGGGATACTTCACGAGATTCGTGCCTGCTGCTGCGGCGCTCAGACCCTGGTGAGCGTGATCCGGACCGGTAACGCTTGCTACTAACAGGGCTAGCTGACCCGCTTGAGCTTCTACGTCGTTTCTGTTTGCTCGAGTCAGAATCTGAATCAGAAGCATCAACGAGTCGAATGCGCTCTTTTTCCCGAGCTCTTTCATAATCTCTTAGTCTCTCTTGTTCCCTTTGCTTTAGTTTATCTCGATCTTTCCCTCGTTGTTTTTCTATTGCTCGTTCTCGTTCCTGTAAAGACATTTGTAAATTAAGAATTAAAAAAAATCATATGAATCTTCAGTTAATGAACATCTTGTTTATGTTTTCTCTTGTATTGGTTTTAACTGGATATTGAATAAATTGAAAGTCTGGAGGGGCCCTAAATTTTGTAACAAAATTAAAAATAAATGGGGGGGGGTAAAAGAAAATTACATTCCAATTTTGAGTCTGACAGTGCCATAAACATTTTGTACATCAGCCCCCACCATGGTGGGGCTGAAGTGGATTTGTTTCGAACTCCATGATCCACCTGCTTAATGTTATACTTTCGTGGTGAATTATCTTCTATATATAATCTAATATTAATAATTGCTGGAATATTGAGAATGAGTAATAGTTAGATATGGGGGTCTGTGAAGACTTTTGACATGTGCCGATGGGGTTCGTTAATGCAAAAAGGTTGGGAATCACTGATATAAGGAACTCTTGAATAAGCTAATTCATAAATTATGATGCAATTATCATTTCCAAAACAAATGTAAATACCTTTTGCAGAAGTTTTTTACGGTACTTCTGAACTTGTTCTGAGATACTCATACCAGACTTTCGACTTCTTCGTCCGCCTTCAACATCATCTTGAAACTTCATAACTTTCATCTTTGAAACAAATCATATGAAAACATAAAATCAGTCAGAATAATATTCAGAAAAAAGTACATTAACAGGAAATAGAAAAGACAGGCCTATGTAAATAATATATGGCACAGACACATAAATAAGACAAATTTGTTTATTTATTCCTGATACCTATTTCTGCTACACAAGATGTTACAGATGCTTGTTCCCTTAGCTGTAGCTGTTTTGTCTGACATACCTCAATTTCTCTTAACTTAGCTCTCCGTTCCTCTGTCATTTCCAATGGTTTGAGGGTGTTTAAATCATATGATTTAGATGATTCTTGTTCATCATCATCCTCATCCTCTTCAATCGGAACACCATCTTCATCTTCTTCTTCTTCCTCCCTATAAAAAAAAAGAAACAGTTTTATGGCTGGCCAAGTATGTCAATTATCCCTACAATCATGATTGATATTTCAAATCATTTAATTACTTTAGAAACGAGTGCCAAGGATATGCCAATCAGTGAACTTAATCACTATTCTACGTGGCATATGCATGAAACGAAAGGGGACTGAATGGACTAGTACACTGGGATAACCCCCTACTCTTCTTGAAGGATGTACTGGGTTCTTTAAAGTGCACACAGGCCAAATGCGTACAATGGGCCTACGGTTTAAAGTCCTTATCCGAGAAGACTGAGCCGTTTAAACCAGCACCGATAACAGCTGTAGGTTATACGGTGCCCTGACTTAACCGCTCGGCCAATCAACTCGCCACTGATATGATGGTCATAATAGAGATGATGATGATGATATTGATGATGATAACAACGATGATGATAACAATGATGATGATAACTATGATGAAGATAACAAAATTTATAAAATTTGACCAAAAAAAATGATAATGATAATGATGATTATGATGATTTCTGCTTATTATAGCATATGAGAATAAAGACAATCTTTTGAATGCAAACCAAGTTATAAAAATACCTAAAGAATAAGACTGCTATGAAATAACGACTCATTCAACTTACACTTCCTTAGGCTTCTCCTCTTCTAACGTTTCAAGTAATTCCCATTTGGAAGTAGTCATGGCTTGTGATTCCAAGGTGGATGCATCAACTGATTCCCATTTTGATGGGGCAACTTTAAATTTTCCTTCTGCTTCCTTCATTCCAGGCTCTGGAACACCATCAATATTCTCCACTGCAACAAAATAATATAATAATTACAAATTATAAAAACAATATAAGATGGATTAAAACAAATTTGTATATCTACCATTCAGTTATAGACCAATAAGTATGGAGTATATATTAAGTAAATCTATACTGCCGATTGTTCAACATTCATGTTATTATTGTTAGCTCAACTAAATTTATAGACAGTTGTTGAATATCATATTTTCTACATTTTCAAAGAGGATTAAATTTGATGTTATTAAAGTACTTAAATAGGATTTTCACAACTATCTTGACAACTGTCTCATTCTCACATATCGCTATTGCTGCCACTACAACAACCATCCTTGCAATCTCCGCAACCATCATCATCATCGCCATAATTATTGTAGTAGTAGTAGTAAAATTTTATTTATTCAAGAAGCACAAATCAACAGATAAAATGCTGTTTTTCATTATGGCCGTGAGATACCTAATTTACAATTAACATAAATTACACATTACGGTACATCATAAAAAAGCAAAAGTTAAATGCATAAATTAAATAATATAGATACAAAACATAATTATTATACAGTATGTGTAATGAAACACTTTGAGAAACAGTGTTTTAAATACAATGTATACAGTGGTAAAATGAATAAATAACACAATGAAGACGCAAGCATTTCTTTATAAACGGATATTTACGATGACTAGGACCTATGATAAGTCCACCGATACGAGAAGAATATGTGAGATAGTTAACATGGGAAAGGGCATGGAAAGCACCACGGCAATATTTTTTTATAAGCGCCACTCTTGAATAAGCGAGCACTGAATCCTCCAAAAATGTTATAAGCGCCATGTTGATTATTAAAGCATTTACGTTATTCAAAATAAATTACTAACCTGGGTTTCCATCTAGGTCCTCGGTTATTTCTGTTCCATCAACATCAATATTTGCACCATCGATATCTTCTGCAATCTCCTGACCATCTAATGATTCGTTGACCAGTGGTAAACCATCAAGTTCAGGTTCAACTGTCTTCTCAATTAACATCTAAATAAATAAACAACATTTTATATTTAATTTTTTATTCTGTCTACAAAAAGCAGGAAATTGCCATTTAAAATACAAAGTTACAGCTTAATCAATGCGGCTCATATGTTGTTGTTGGCATTCGGCCTTTGGCCTAATATATTAAATTTGTAACACTGGTATTACTTTTCCTTTAAATTATTACTAGTTTTATTTATTTATTTATTTAGATATCATTATATATTATTATCATTGAACAAATTCATCTGGTTCCATTGTGGTAATAAATGAGAATGTAATTTTACTATTACCTGTATTTTTACTGTATTCTTAATGATTAAAACTGCATCTAAAGTGACTTACAACATTACGTATTAATAATCTCACCTCCACATCACCATTTGGCCCATCTCCTTTCTTCGAACCAACAAGACCGAGAAAAACATTCTGAAGTCGAACCAATAGCTCATTAGGGTATATAGCCCAGTCTTCCCACGCACGGAAGCAAGCCATCACACGATTCTACATATATATATACAAATAAAAACATATTGTTAGAAAAGATTCTGACTGCTAACTTAAATTATACAAGGCATATAAATACGTTAAAATTGAAAAAAAAACAAAAACTTGGTAACTTCTGCTTAATTTCACTCAGGCAAACCTGCTTTTTTTCACTCCAGAAAACAAACATATTTCTACAAATTAATACACAACTGTTAACAGTAAACATTAAAAAATATAGTACATACACACATTATGTCATTTTAAATATTGTAAACGTAAATATAGTGGGTTTTGTACTAAATATATTTACAATTGAAATCTAACCTTAAAATGTTCTGCTTTCAACCTTTGCTGAATGGATTGATGCGTCTTGTGGAGATCTATAAAAATACCCGGTAACCTCGCTTCGAAATATTTACGGTAATAGGATGCGTTAGCAACCTTCGCACTGGAATTGAACAAGATGTCGGAAACAAGGAACAAACGCCCAATCTTCTTTGGAATTGGCGTCTGAAGAATGGACAATGATTCGGAAATGCACTCGACGATTTCTTCAGCTGACTCGCCATGGTCAAGACAGTATACCATCGTATCACTTATTTTCTGTCTCTCCATTGTCAGATTTCTCAGCATATCTTCTAGTTTGTCTCGTTGACTGAAACAAAATACAAAAATAATAATAATAATTATTATTATTATTATTAGTATCATTATCACCAAGAGCAACAACAGCTGGAATGGTGTCATATAAATGGAACGAATGATTGATTGACAGCACACCTGTTATTCACAATGAACTTGTTCAGGTTAAAGATTTATGTATGAATAACATTTTTTCTTCTTTTCTTAAATTATATCAATATTAAAAATCACATTTGGACTCGATGGATTTTAGCGCAATACCGACAATTAATTGATTGAGGTAACTGCTTCCAATATTAATTACTCCTAGTTTTACTTGAATTATAATTTCATTTTGTTATTTTCCAACAAAATTAGCTCAACTAGATTTAAACTCGTCACTGAGGACGAGTTAGGTGATCCGCCGCACTTTGACCCACAAGGAAGTGTGCGCGTGGCGGATTGAACAATAATTAAATGCTGATAATGGCATAATTAAATGCTGATAATATGCTAATTTAGTTTGTTAAAAAATAATTTTGAGCATTTTAAAAGATTAACTCATGCGTACACGCACGTCATGACGCACGTGCGCATCTCAATGTCACTGTTGTCTCCTGATATGAGATATATATGTATCAACTTTCATTGACAAACGCCTATTGGTGAAGGAGTAATGATCATTTATAGTATTTATCAGGATGGCAATATGGTGACGTCACAGTGTCCGATCAGCTATTATGATATATAAAATCATATCTACAACTCATGTGCTTTTAGAATATGTAATAAAAATTGGGGGTTACTTTTCATCCTAAGGGGCTATATTTGATTATAAATAGGCATAATTATAAGCATATGTAATATTTGATGCATGCTTACGCACACGTTAAGACGCGCAAACCAAAAAGTAAGATACCTAACATTCAAACTTGATCTGAAGTATAAGCCCATTTAATATTATTCAGAAATGACGAATGGTTAAGATGATATGACGTCATCAACGTTTTGAGAAAAGAAATATAATTTTTTTCTTGTTTTTTTATTTCAGATGGCAATATGATGACGTCATAATGTCCGATCAGCTATTATGATATATAAAATCATATCTACAGCTTATGTGCTTTCAGAATATGTAATAAAAGTTAGGGGTCACCTTTCATCCTAAGGAGCTATAACTGATTTAAAAAAAGACATGATATAAAGCATATATTAATTTTGACGTACGTGAACCCGCGCATTATTACGCGCGCACAAAAATATAATGTACATAACATTTAACCATGACTGAATTTTATACCCACTAAATATGATTCAGAAATCACGACTGATTAAGGTGATTATGGGGTCATCAAAGGCTGGACGAAAGAAAGATGAGGGGGTAAGCAAAACCCTATATTTTGACCATGATGACATCATCAAAATGTAAAAAAATGCCAAATATATGAAAGAGAATTGCCTCAGCTACAACATACTCAAAGTAGGAAGACAATCGATCAAGAATAAGCGAAATACACTCAAATGCGCATTTGCTAAAATGAGGTCATCGATAATATTCAGTTTGTTGAATTCAGATGGCAATATGATGACGTCATAATGTCCGATCAGTTATTATGACCTATAAAATCATATTTACAACTCATGTGCTTTCAGAATATATAATAAAAATTGGGGGTCACCTTTCATCCTAAAGAGCTGTAACTGTTTAAAATTAGGCCTGATTTTAGTAAAATTTCTCTGTATATCGGCACAAATGTGCTCAAAGGTCACTATGTTTGATGCATGCGTACGGCATTGTTATTTGTCATAGAGTGATTGAAAAGATTGGAAACTTGTCAAAACAATGTCAGGAACCCAAAATGTGACAAAAAAATTAAATTCTAGCTTCCATACGTGCTGCGCGCGTAAAAATGCGCATGCGTAGTAGTAAATTTCCAAAAATTATGAAATGCTCAAAATGGCCTGGAAGCTGCACACACAGGGTTGTTAATGAAGGCAAGAAAATTGCTGTTATTGCATGTGGCCAGAGGCCCCACTTTGCCCACCTGTGTATTAAAGTTTAAGGAAGTAGAGGTTTTTAGTTATGAGAAGAAATCCTTTATTTATTACAACTACATTTATGAGAAAAATGTTGAATCAATTAAATTATAAATCATACTTTCACTTACTGATTTGATAATGTTCCTCGTTTCTTAACTTCTTCAATTTGTGGTGGAGGGGGTGTTGCTTGTCTGGGAGGTCGTTCACCAGTCAAAGCCTCTGGCATTCCGTGTAGATATGGATTAAGTGGCGGGGGCCTCCAGTACGACCCTCCATGGAACATACGGAATTCTTTTGTTTTCCAATGTGTTGGTGAATCTCCCTGTTTAATAAAATAAAATGTGTGAAATCACATAAGAATATGAAATGTATTTTCTGTTGGTAATGAAAACAATTAAAAAATATAAAATTCTCGTAAAACATGTTAGTCAAATGAAATTATAATGACAATGGAAACAAATGTGAAATCAGGGGAAGATTTAGTGGGGGAGGGCTAGGCAGGCCCGGCCCACTTTTGGTAAAGCAAAAAAAAAAGGAAGAAAGAAAAAGAAAAATTTGATTTCACAAAACTCCTCAAAGGTTATTTTCAGGTGTCTACAAAACAAACATTTTGTGGGGCATGCCTCCGAACCTCCTAGGGTAGAGTTGTCTCGATCAGCACCATTTTCGGCCCACTTTCAGGAACCCCCCCCACATTTGGATATCTCTGCATCCGCCTATGGGAACCTATGGGAATTGTAGAGCACATATTACACAAACTGTCTTCATAAATCAGAGCTTGGTATATATAGAACTTGGGCAAATTTAATACGTGTACAATGCAATAGGTACAGTATAGAGGATGATTACTTACTTGTAGTATTGAGTAGAGCTTCCAACGGTAATAAACATGGGCAGGACTTGTATTCTCAAACAAAAATCTATAAAATAAAAAGTTACTAATTATGTCTTTTACATCGATAAATGGACCCAGGGGCCAATGGTCAATTCTGCAAAGCCACGCCCCATAGATATTGTTGCCAAGATTCACAAAACGGCAGTCATTCGTACAGAAAAATAGGTGAGTGTAGGTTGTACGATATACCAGAAGGTGGTTTCCAGTGTGCATTCAGCCTAATGTTTTATGACCAAGACAAAATAAAATGTGCAAAATGAAAGCAATCATCATTATATTGTGAGTACTCTTTAACTTTCAGTAGTTTATAAATACTGTATAATATAAATACTATAACAGTCACTCCATTATGTCATCATTTCCTGATGACATAATTAATGTCGAAATATTAAATCCTGACACGTTGGCGTGCATTTCGATACTTGGAGTATGGATTTTACTACCTTGTTACCACAAACAGTAGAGTGCTACATCTGCCCTGTGCCTAAATATAGTACCAACAATACACAGGCTGTGTATGACTAGCAAAAATGCAGCATACCTTCATATTCAGACACAATATTTTCTTGAGTGCTACAGCCTACCACCAAGAAAAAAATGGAATCGCCCACTGAATTTAGGTACACTGTTTTCTTGAGTGTTGCCTGAATACATGGAGGTGATTCCATTATTTCCTTTTATGCTCGAGGGTAAAAAATGGAATTTCCATATATGGCCTTTTCTTTCAAAAAACTGAAAGGTGTCTTTCTTTGATTGTTTTGTAGAATTCCACTAAATTTTGATGATCCATTCATTAGTTTTTGCGTAATCTTGCTAACAGACAGCAGTGAATACATAACCTCCTTGGCAGAGGTAATAATACACATTGATAAAATAATTTTATCTCGTTCCAATAGTTACAGGTAAAAGACAATTATTTGAAAATATAAATCTGTTTGTACACAAAGAATTGCCTTTTACATATCATTGCTCACATCACAAACTAACACAATGAAATTAGATTGTGTTAGTCCTTGAAAACAAAAAAGCATGCTTTTTGTATGGTAAGAAATACAAAAATGTTTGATAATAACCATACGCTTATTTTGACGCACTTTTTTGTTTTCACGAACTAACAAAATATACTTTCATTGTTAATTTGTGATGTGAGTGACGATTTAATACATAATATTTTTTTCCTTACCTAACAGTGAGTACCTTATCAAATGCAGAATTTGATTTTTTATTTTAACATTTGCTTGTCAAACTTAATCTTTAATATCTACTACTGTTCTGTACCAACCTAAATAACGGATTATTGATTTCTCTGTTCATGATCATTGCTTCGAACATTGGCCCTTCGCGTACCACAAACTCGATCATACGATGAATGAGGTGCAACAGCGGTCTGAAAGAGGAATCATAGAATGGAAATCTTGCCCCCAAAAGGGGTAACCTAATCCACCAACACTTCTAAACATAAAAACAGCAAATTTCCCTCAAGGGGGTAAACCTAAATTCAAATTCTAACACAGCAAACCTCTACTGTACATTCAAACTTAATTTTTAAAAAGAAATTTTGAAATTTATAAACTAGGATTGGTTAATCGTTAGGAGATATGTTTAAATGATTGTAAGCCTAATGTTTGTGAATTAAATAAATAATACTGATAGCTAATTCCATGAATAGTGTAACAAAGTAAATAGGGATGGTAGGAACAATTAAATTATTTATATCTCTTGTTTATGGAAATGTTAATTCACATCAGATTACTTAAAAAACAACAATGGGTTCTAGTGTACTGGAAATTTCAAGGAGACTAGAATATACATGGGTATATTTTTAGATGTGAAGAAATATGAATGAGAACAATATTTGGAATACTGTGGTCTTGAAAAGGTATATCTGGTTGTACAAACAATATGTACTTGGAAATTTAATTACAGAAGTTAAGTACACTTCAGTTCTCAACGTTGCTAGCACCAGATATTGGTTCTTGCATATGTGAGATAATATTGGTAACATAGTGTGTTTTCGTTTCTTCAGTGTCTGATCAAATGCCTTGTCAAACTCCCTATATATTAACTATTTTTGTATTGTTTTAAATAAGTATTTAAGAGATTCAAATAAGTAGTAAAATGAAATACATTTATTAGGTGGTAAAAAAAGGAATGTTAACACATTGGGTTTTACTATAGTAAAATTAATAAGGTGTGTCGAAAAATACACTTAAAATGGTTTGGAATATAGAAATTAAAGCACAACAGATGTGTATAAGATTGATAAAAAAAACCAATAAAACTAGTAAATAAATATAGAGGGTGGTAAAATGACAATTAAGATGGTGATTATTGTAGAATTGTAGCAGATGCAGTAAGGGGTGCAAAAGGAAGACAGCATTGGTGAAGAAAGAGAGATGCAAAATAAAATTGTTAAGGGGAGAGTGTTCAAAATAGATCGGGTAAGGAAGGCAAAATAAAATTGTTAAGGGGAGAGTGTTCAGAATAGATTGGGTGAGGAAGGCTGGAAACAAGACAGAATGAGTAATAAAAGGTGGATGCAAGATAGAATGGGTGAAGGAAGAAGGACAAAAGAAGAAATGAGTAACAAAAGAGATACGCAAGATAAAAAGGGGTGACAGATGTAATGGGAATCATGGAATGTTAATAGTATACCTGTGTGTTTTTTTTTTCATTAGAAACTAAACTATTTTACAATAATATTCTCTATTACTTTATATAATTAGTTTACTTTACATTTAAAATAATATTACCACACTGATAATAAAAATATAAAAACATAAACCAAAGTACTTCAAAATGATCACAGTGTATGTGAACTATTTCATATCTCATTCACTTACATAAAAAAAAATAAATGAACAATTTTCATAACTGTATAATTACATAAACAAATGTAATTAGTTCAAAATGTATACCTTCAAAAATATGAAGATATTTTTTAGAACAGTACCACACAACAAATCGGCAATGGCATCTGTAGTATGGCTTCATCAGTTATTGTTAGAAAAAAAAATGATGAGAAAATCCACATACCTGCATGATGTATACAGGTGTGCTTAGCACCTGTGTTTACTTAGTACTACCAGAAAAGGTCTTTATCTGAGAGTATTATTCACACGGACAATAAATTTTGCTATTCTTTATAATTCCACATCCAACAACACGAATGTAGTAAGATAAGATACAGGCATTGCATATTGGCTTTCTTTATGTAATGAATTTGGAAGTTTTTTCTCAATCTTTAAAAACATATGTAGATGGTATATTTAGTAGAACTAGTGATATGGGACCTCTGAAATATTACAGTAAAACTTGCCTAACTCGAATAATTTCTAAGTCAACCTTATTTTACATGCCAAATTGTTGTGTTTCCCATTAATTAACTATCTGTAATTTAAGTCAAATAATTTTTCAGTGCCATTTTGGATTCGACTTAAGTTCAACTGTAGTATTGTACATTTATTGAGGCTTTGGTAGTCTTCAATTTTTTTTTTTGTGCAGTTAAACCAGTTGACAATTTTTGTAAGCAAATTTTCATCACATTTCCCTCTTAGCTGGAGGCATCGTCAGCAATTTTATAGACTATAGACTCACAGACTTAAAAATCAGAGTTCGCCATCTTAGTGCAAAGACAGTTCAAGAAAACAAATTTTGTAATTTGCATTTCAAGTCTCTTGTGTTTTAGCCAAAACAGTATTAAAAGTAATTGTAAGTATATAATCATACAACTGCTTATTAGCCAATTAGTAAAACAATAAAAAAATATATATTTTGGGATTTTTTTTCCTTCAGACTAATCAGTGAATACATAGCTAGTCAGACAAAGACCTCTCTGTGTGAAAAAGACATTAGCGCCCTCAGGCGGAGCGGTAAAGAAAATGCGAGTAGGGTACCTTTCTGTCGGGATAACCACTTTAACAACTGCATCTTTTAACGTCTGGTGACGACGACAATCATCAAAAGAATACAAAAAATGTCAGTAAAGGAGTCGGCATCTTGATTACATTTTAAACATTTGCATAAATTTGCATAAACAAGATATTAAAACATGAGTACAGCAGTATAATGCCGAAGCTGTCTGCATTTCATGTATTGTTTTTATAATGTAAATAAGTTAGGAATGTTTGTGTGAATAAGAATAGGTCTTTTAAGTATATAAGTGTTTTTAAAATTATTTTTCATGGCCATGATAATGGGACAAAAAAAAAAACACCCTTTAGAATTAAGTTTTAAAATACTGCAAAAAATATTTAAATTCAAAATGTAAAAATTATTTTTAAAATAAAAATGGTAATATTAAATTACTGATTTTGTAATTTTTAGAACCTGTTTTCTATAGACCTCCATGGTTGATAGACATTAAATTAAATATTCATAATTCCACTAATACAGAGCCAATTGATTCAAAAAAAGTTAAAATATAATGTTTAAAGTGTAATACTATATAATCAAAAAATACCAAAAAAATTAATTTTGAATTTTTCTGAGCAACAGAGGGGTTTGTCAAAGCTTGTAACATATTATTGCAGCAGAGAAGTGTGATTTATGTTGAAATTTGAATATATTTTCCAAATAATTATGAGATTTTGTTGCAAAGGAATGATCTTTATGTATAACATGACGATCTACATATTTTTTTTAATGTGGTTGGTAGAACAGCTTAATACATAGTAATAAAATTCAACAAAAGGCAAAAACTTAAGGTACAACAAAAGTTTTTCAAAAAATATTCAATAGTAGAAAAACATGAAATATGTAATAATTTTACTGTATGTGCATATTGTTGTTCATTAATACATTAACCATATATAGATGTATTCGTCACCACGGTTAAAAATACAACATAGATATAAGGCTTATGTTTAAGAAAGAAACAAGGATATGTGTTATAAGCATATGTTTAGAAGTCTTAATGTGTTCGGTGTTATACATGATTTTTATAATTAAAAGATTTTACTGTAGTATACACTTGTCATACATCACCAATAGCCATTGAAATATTAAAGCACCTTCCTTCAGTGACAGTTGAAACACTTAAACTTATTCATTCCATTTTAACTACTTTTATTGTGAACTATTTTGAGGAAAATTATGATCACACATATTTTTATTTATTTACTTTTGACTCATGATTTATAGCGAGCGATTGAGAGCTTGTGCCTATTTTGTATCTTTGCCAAATAAATGTCTTAGCACACTAATAAATAAAACAATATGTTTACCTTCTTCAAATCATCGTCTCCGCCCTGCCCCGTGCGCGAGCTGTTTCGTTTGTCCTTGGGCTGTGCATTGAAGGGGAGTCCAGATGGTGGGGGCGGGAGAGTCAGTTGTAACATTTGTGGTGGAATAAACACAGGATGTGGAGGGATCGGAACGCTTTTCCCCCATCCAAGTTTCATCTCGTATTCCATTATCATTTTACCTACAAAAAAATAATAATTAAAATTACTACTTTAATTCTCCCCTCTTAAACTTCTTAAAAATATGCATGGTACGGAAACAGTGACTTTTTACGACAATCAAACAAATAAATTATATATCAATTAGTACGTCTTTAGTAAAATTAAAATAAAAATTTTTTTCATCAGTTTTACCATCTATGTTTTTCATGCCCCGTTCCGCATCTTTTCGATTCATATATGCTACAAATCCACAATTTCTATTGCGACTTCTTTCCTCGTCCGTGCGGGGCCACATGATCTTCACACTGGCAAGAGGTCCGTACTTTCCAAACTCCTGACACAACATCTCCTCTGTCATCTGTACAACAAAAATAATAAAAATGTATAATGCTGATATTGATGCAATCAACAAAGATGGTAACATTGTTATAGTTATACTGTATTACAACAATGATATTAGGATGATGATAAATAGGATATAATGCTAATAATAAATAAATAGAATGATGAAGATGACGATGATACAAGTGATGATGATGATGATAGCAAAGATGATAACGATAATGTTGATGAAGATGTTGACGAAGATAAGGATGATGATAAATTTCAGCCCAGTTACCATTAAGACAAAACTGCTGAATGACTTACCAGCGGATTAAAGGGAGTCCAGCCGGCTTAGGCCTCCTAAATGTTCTATAGAGGTGTCATAATCATAAATTTGTTTACCTTGGCCCCAAAAATCATTGGGGGCTGAGGTGGTCTAGACCCTCCATCTGTGGAAGTCCCCCAATCACCTTTATTTCAAATTCCTGGATCCACCACTGTTGACTCTGATATCTAAATGTCACTGTAATTGATCACTATCATAAACAAATGGTACAATCTCAGTGGTATAACACTTACTTTTGGGTTCAAACTTCCAAGAAAGATGTTTGTTGTCTGAGGATCCCCTGTGTCATGTGATCCATAAGCATAGTCCTCCATACCAACTAGAATAGTAAATAGAGAGGTTAAAGGTGAAATTATATCAGCTTAGGGAATGAAGTTGAATTACAACAGGTTAGGGAGCTCAGTTATACTACAGAAGCTTAGGGAGTTTCCTCTCCATATTCAGATATTTTGTTTGTTCACGACCAAATTTGGTCAAATAATTAACCATAAATAAATTCTGCCATTTAGTGAAGGCCTTTTGTAAACAATAAGTAACACAAACATAAAAGACGAGTTTAATAGCAATACGATTGAAAACAGGTTTGAATGTTAGAAGGTCACCTTCAATCCTTGGAATCAAATCCAACTAAACCATGGACTACAGTTTAAAATTATGGAAGAAGCCAATAGAGGGGGGTCAGAGTTAATCCCCATACCCCCAGCACATTAGATACTTACTTGGTATTCGCATGTCAGGTGTAGCGAGCAATGGTGCTTTTGGCTCCTTTGGTGTGTGTTTATTAGAATGCTCTGCAATCTCCTTCTTTAGTTTGTGTCTAATCTCTCGTTCTGCCTGAATTCTGCTCAATCAAATGAGTTTTGCAAAAACAATTCAAAATTGTTTAAAAAAATTCATTTATGTAATAAATAAGTAATATTTTAAGTAGCAATATTTATGTATTTTTACTATATTCATATTCATTCATATTCATATATTTATATAGCGCCTTTCTTTGATACGAAGCGCTTCTGTCCCTGGTCATTGGATCCACATGCTTAGTGTTGCTGCTGTATTCAACGCAGGAGCAAGCAACCCCACCAGGTACCCATTTATACTCCTGGGTGGAGAGAAGCAATGCAGATAAAGTGCCTTGATCAAGGACACAAGCGAAATGCACAGCGAAGGATTGAAACCCCGACCTCAAGGTTGGGAAACCAAACCTTTCACGCTGCACCAGACTGCTTCTACTATACAATAAAATATTGCAACATTCCATACAAATTACAGCATACCTTCATCTTTCAAATTAATAATTAATCAGATTCCGATATTAGTACAATGTTAAGATTGAAGACCACAATTTCTATTTGAGTACCATATATACTCGTGTATAAGGTGATCCGCGTATAAGGTGACCCCAAGTTTCAGAGGATTCTTTGACGATTTTTTTATGACTGGTGTATAAGACGACCACCACCCCCCCTCTTTCATCGTCGGAATTCCTACAATTTGATGCTTTTTGTGGTCTTGATACTGCACCAAGCTGGCTATAAACGGAGCCAAATGTTGGGCATTCATTCATACTAACAGTTAGCAGCTTCACTGCAGTAGGTCATGTTCGTCTTACGATAAAACGAACACGATTAAAGATAAAAAAAATTTTTGTGTTGCGAGTATAACATGACCCCCTGTTTTTCGATAGTAATTTGCTATTTTAAGTCTCGTCTTATACACGAGAATATACGGTATGTAATAATAAAAATATTTTTGAGGAAATCAGTGCCAATCATGCTTGAATAATCATGTTTAACATTTTTAGTGTCCATGACTATCTATCATTTGGAAAAAATTGTTAACAACATCTGAAATTGACATATTCTAATTATGTATTATGTATTTTCTACAAACTATTTATTATGTTCAGACTATTTGCGAAGTGCATTCAGTCATAACTGCTCCGTGCGTGCAGTCATGTGTAACTTGTGCAGCCTGTGCTGCACACTAAAGTCTGAAGCAGTTTTCCACAGTGCAATAATTACTGATACAGCACTTCAAATTCAATTGCCTATTATGAACCAAAAATATATTTGTAATGATCATTGCATTAGTAATGCATTACAATATTTTTAGAAGGATTTCTGATTACTTACACTTTTAATTCTTCTAAAAAGTTTTCTAGGTTACTTTTTGATTTGTTTTTCTCCTTCTCCTTTTTCTTCTTTGCTTGCTCCTGTTGCTAAAAACAGCCAAAACATTTATCACATCAATTAAAATTTTATTTAACATATTTTTTTATTGATGATAAACCTTCCTTACAACATTAAATTTGTCAAAATTCAGAAAAAAAATGTCATAAACTAACAAAATGTGTTGTAATAAGTATTGAGGCACCAGTGTTTGCTATTAAAAGTTTGAAAGCAATGTGACATTTACTTTTGACCAGGTGGTTAACAATGGATTTATATGTCTATATCCAGAATGCTACAAACATTAAAATAATTCCAGGAGGATTTTTTACAGTAATAATAATATAATAGTAAATATTAGCATTTTTCCTGTGGCAATAACCTGGGTAAACATTGGAAATGAACGTCTCAATATTCTTTTATGATTAATTCTCAGATATTATGCTAAGTTTTGTTTTCTTATTTGTGCACTGATAAAACCTCCAGCCGCAGAGCTGAATAAACCCAATTGATCAAGAACTTACTGCCGCCTTTTCTGCTTTCTTAGCTTCCTCTTGTTTCTTTAATAAAATGCTTTCTGATATCTTGGAAGAAGGTTTATACAGTTTGCCTGTTTGATGATCAGTCTTTTCTTCTATCAGATTAAAATTTAAAAAAAAAAAAGATGAATCGGTGAGATTAAATTATGTAGCCTGTGCGGTAGATCAGACTTCCGCATTGACCTCCAGCAAGTAATTTTAATATTGTAAATGTAGCCTTGTAAGTACTGTAAGACCCTTTTATAAAATCTGTGCTGAGAAATGTTTATGATTAGGAAGAAACATAATAGAAATATTGTCTGGAATAACCAACATGTCTGTATTTGCGATTGCAGTCAGCCATGTTTCTCTACAAATGCACATTTCCGGAGTGTCAATCAAACTTAACAAACGACCAATCAGAAGAAGGCGAGAAATACGCACATGTCCTAAAAACACATATCAGTTATTCAGAATGTGTCATTACCCTGCAGGATGTATCCATCGTCAAAATTCATACGATTTTTCTATGTCCTTGTCTACAGACCTCTATCTTGGAGTGTTTGCCTTTAGGTCATCCATCCATCTTCCAATTTATTAATAACCATGGAATCTTCTTTAATATTAATAATGTTTACTCTAGTCTTACCTTTTGTTTCTGGGTTGATAGTTGATCCTCTAATGAAAGCTTTTCCCATTGAGGACCCGGAATCCTCAAAGGAGGCCACAAACTCTTCGAATACTTTTGCTGTTGCCTTTTCATCATGCTAACAAAAAGAACAGCAAATAAAGCCATATCAAGACTATCAACTTTTATTTGACAAAAACATTTGAAATACCTAAATATGGTCATAATGACATCACATCATGACTATATATAGACACATCATGACTATATATGGACATACAACGGTTTGTTAAAAAAAAAAATTGATACAGTAACATCTTCCAATTACGTACCCCTCCGTCCGAACAGAGTTCGCAATTGAGGAAATTCGTAATTGACAAAGTACAGGGTTAGGTAAGCCTAAGCCTTGACAAGGGAGCAAAATTTTGTCACGAAAAATGACTTGGATTTTACTGTTTTCTGCAACAAAATAATACTTTACAGAACCCAAAATGATGTATGCTCACTGTGAAGTATTCATCTGAAGTGATTTCTGAATGAAAACATGACCAAATAATGTCCAAAACGAGTGTTATTTTTGGTCTTTAGAAAAATCGTGAATCTATGTAAATTGTGCCCTCAATTAACAAAAAATGCGATTTACACTACAGTATGCCTGAACAAGCATGCACAGCTGAAATATATCTCGGCTGAAAATGATCGATATTTCTTGCTTTAAACTTAGTTTTATGTCATTGTATTGGTTTAAATGTTTTCCTGCTTAGCTGATACAATATTTTATATTAATTTTGAAGACTTTAAAATAAATTTGTGTTTTTGTAGTTAAAAAAACGATCATTTCTAATGACATCATCGAGGCAAATTGGGTTCGTAAAATCAAGAGTTCTTAATTTGGAGGTTCGTAAGTGGGAGATGTTATTGTAGTGTAGTGGACAGTTTTAGACTAGCAGTCAAAGAAATTTTCAATCATAAATTTACACCAATAATTATCACACATTTACATGCTGCTTTTCTGCTTCTGTTATGTTTATCATGTTGTGTTTTGATGTGCAATAAATATGCAGAAAAAAAACCCCAGCATTTTTTAAACAATTTTTAACTTAATTTTAATTTACCTAAAGTTTAGTTAATTATGTTACAGTATTTGTTTTAACCAACCTTTTTTCTTGCTTCTTCTTCTTCTTTTTTAGATTTTTTCTTGCCAATATTCATCTGACCAACACTGAATGCTTTCAGTTTGTTATGGGAGATCCCCTACAAATACAAAACAGATGGAATATATGAATATTCATGAGTAGCCTGCAACACCAGTCATGTTTAAGTCGAGATGTGCAGCCCAAGAGAGAGCATCATTTATGCTTGATGCATCAGTTTAAAACCACTATAAGTTTGGTTTAGTTTTCCATTTTTCATTTCGTTTGAGCACTTTAAGATGGTTTTTATTGTGAAAGGCGTCACTTGTAAGTTGATTTCCATTTCCTTGGTTTGTTTTCTAGGCTTAGTATAAATCAATTATTATCAAAATAAAAAACGAATTAACAGACATTTACTATATAAGTTTAACACAAAATTTATTGACATAATAAAGGATCAACGTTTCATGTCTCATGGACACATTTTCAAGATCAAGTGAACAAAAATAAACAAATCATAGAAAACCAAATGTAGGTAACATGAGTTGGGATTAAACAATCACAGGATTAACACTTAATATGGAGGATTCCTCCATGCACTTAATATGTTAACAATAGCTCATTAGGCATAGTAAACATAGGCCTAGGTTAGCTAGATACAAAAGCGATAGAGGGCGCTATAGATTGGCAATACAAACATTGCAATAGAAAATAGTGCCCCGATGGAGATAGGATATCCAATGTATTAATAATTGGGTATTTCGCGGAAGTATACAACAATTTGACCGAATTACTTCCAGATAACACACCAGAAATGATTTCTGGACCAAGTTATTGGCTTTTTAAGCGCGCGAATCGATTTAGTAGAAGTTTTTTTAGTACAACCAATGTTTCGTCGATTTTCAATAATAAAAGGAAACCTTCGCTAGTTATTTGGTTAACATTTTTGTTTTCTTCAGTTTTTAAACTATAAAGATAAGTAAGTTTTAAATAATATTTGTGAGCATATTAATTGAAATAGATGGCATAAAATTCTATTGTCTTATCATGTAACGAAGCTAGACTCGGCTCGTACGAATAGAGGGCGTCCTCGTTAATTTGCGGCGGCTACACGCAGGGTAAACGATGTTTTCCCCATTGGCCACCGTGTTGTCTGAGGCCTGCAATTAGGCCTAAAGTTATGCGATTCAATATAATTTATTATATGTAGAATCTATAAGTTGATAAAAATTATTAAATCTAATATAAATAATACTAAAATACTAACTTATAATCGTTAGTAAGGCCAAGTAAAAAAAAAACATGTTTCACATCCGGCTTTTTTTTTAAATTGAGGAAGAGGCCTTTTTTATTTTTCAAAATGGCTGCCATTCTACAGACTTGTTGACATTTCCCGTCTAGTTTTGTTCAACATATAAAAAGACATCACACAAGATTAGAAGCTGTATACTGTTTATTTGGCAAGAGTGTTATTGGGTATTATAAGCTTTTTTCTATTCACAGTGGCATTGCAGTATGTAAGGTAAAGTTGTAAAGTAACCTGAATCAAACACATTAAAATTGCGCACATTCACTCCTGAGTATACATCATTTTTATGAAATATATTAAACAACTATATAGTACAGCTTTGGCTTATCTATTAAATCTAGTAAGTACAGTATTATGGTGAAAACTAAGTAAACTTTTCTTTTACAGATATATGGCATATGTACAGAAAGTAAAATCTAGAATGGAAAACATCTACAGTAATATTGGCAAGGTGTTTTTCATTGTTGAGTATCTTGAAAACTTTACAAATCTTTCTATTCAGAGTGATGATATTGCAATATAGGTACCGGTTACAAAGTTTAAATATATAAAAAAAATCTGTTTTAGATATAATTGCACACACTGGCTCTGCATGTCTATCACTTGTTTACTTATAAATTGTTTATGAAATTTATTAAAACAACTAAATAGTTTAGCAGAATTAGAGTCTAGTAATAAAATGTAGTATTATAGTATGGTAATTAACTCTTAAATTGGTATGGCATGTAGAGAAAAAAAAAGAATGTTTAGTTATTTCATCTCCAATGAAATGAATGTCCATTAAAAAAAATGTGTAAATAAAAAATAAATAACAAGGTATATATATTATTGTTCTTTGTATTTGAAAGTTTAAATTTAGTTCCATGAAATTCCAGAATTCATTGGAAATCATCAGCCGTATACGATGGGACTTTCGTGCTCTGCTCAACGGAAACTGCTCAACGAAGTTAACGCTCGGAATTTATCGTTGAGTTTTGTACTCAACGGGATAACATACTCAATGTATAGTCCCAATCGAATACGGCAATTGTATGCATGACAAACGCGCTCTAGTGAAGTGAACTCGAGGTTTGCCGTCTGACGCCCAGAGTAGGCGACGGCCTAGGCCTAGCCTAGAGATATCGGGCTAGCCTAGGTAGAGATATTGGGCTAGCCTAGGCATAGCTTTACTATACGAAAGGTTAGACGAAGATATTGCACTATTTTAGGCTAGGGTATTTATTTTCCAACATTTAATTCTAAATTTTCGATATATTTTTTCTTTATTTTCATGAATTTTCCAAAAATAAAAAATCAAAAAAAAATCAAGGCGGGCGAAAAAAACGATGCAGGCGGGGACGCGAAACATGTTTTTTTTTTTACTTGGCCTAATTGTCAAGTATTATTTTAACATGGCCGAAAATGCTACATAATTATACTGTAAGGGACACACGTCTTGTATAATAAAAACAATAGAAATTAACTCCAGCAAAAAACATATTTAAAATAGCAATATCTCCGCTAATATTGGTCCAATTTACATACTTTTTAAAATGCTTCATTCAGTTATGTCTTTCTATTAAAAATAAATAAAAAAATATTTGGGCCATTTCAATTTATTTTGTTTCTAGCTACCTAGGCTAGGTCTGGCCTAGGCCTACCCCTTCGACTTTTGAATAACACCCTAGGGCCTAGGCTAGAGGCTACAATAGGCCCGTTAATTAATATTATTAATATTAATACTGTAGTTGTATTTACCATACCATTACCATAATTATCCTATTATTAGGTCCTAGGCCTAGGCCCCTATATTTATGTATAATCTGAACATATATCATGTGTGTTGAAGGCATATTATAGCACCAGGCCTTGTTTGGTTTAGTACTACTAGGCCTAGTAATAGCAGTAGGCTAGGCCCTAGGCCAGCTGTATTGCTTTTGCTTAAATTGTAAAAAAAAGATGCATGGCGGGAGGTACAGTCAGTAGGCTAGGCTTGTTTGTCGTCGTGCTGGAGTGGCGAACATGCATCATCCCCTGTCCTAAACAAAACGTGCTGTTATTAACCCTAAATATATTACTACATATGTATTTCAAACCTTCTGTATGATACTTCACACATTATTCATATGTTTCTTATAAATACTGTTATAAAATACCGAATATTACCTTCATAGAGTTAGGGTTTAACCCCTTCATGCGAGAGTGCTTGTCCGCCATTTTGAATGATTAACTACGCATGCGTGTACAATGTACATACAGTCCTAAAACGTATCCACTGGAGGAACAAAACAAACGCAAGAGATATCCAACATTATATAGAACGCCGTTAGTATCTTCAGTTATGTGCAAACACTCTATTAATTATGTGCAATCGTCATGACGTTATGTGGTATGGTCATGATGTTATGTGGTTTGGTCATGATTTTATGGTCATACTGTACTGTATTTGACTAGTCGTTTCGGGCCGTAAAACTATTCTTTCCGATTTTACAACACACCTAGCGCGCGAAAAAAAATGAAAAACAAATTACCTTTTCCAACATGACTTCAAAATCAGATTCTTCAAATAAGGATATATCACAATGGGTTGCATTTTTACCCAGTAAGTTGGTTCTGTGTGCTTTTTGTTCAAAACTAGAAAAGAATTTCGGATAGGCCTATTATGGTACTGCTAGGCATAGCCTAGGCTAGGACTCAAAACTGCAAGCTTCCAGTTCCAGCAACACTGTAACTCCCTACCTAGGCCTAGGCCTAGCCTCGCTAGACCCTGGCCCTAGGACAGCCTAAGCCTACACGGGTGTCGGTCAATCCGTACCCAAACCAACCCGTACCCATACCAACCCGTACCCACTTTGGTCAAAACCGTACCCAAATTCAGGTCAATCCGTACCCACGTTTGGTCAATCCGTACCCACGTCATTTTGGTCAACCCGTACCCAAAATAGGCCTATAGGCCTATATTTGTATCTGTACTGTACGATCTCGTGCGGTCTGTAAGATTGTCGTTGCCGCTAATATTATTAAGGTAAGTTTTCTCTCTGGGCCTTTTTTTTTATCTTTTCTCATAATTTTCAATTTTATTTTCATTAATTTTCTCTGGTTTTAATTTTTTCTTTCTCTTTTCTTTTGTCTCTGGGTCTATTCTTTATTTCTTTATTATATAGGCCCTATTTAGTTATTTTATATATAAAGGCCTAGGCAAAGATCTTATAAACACAAGATAGCATTCTCCGCGATTTACGCGTGCAAATTCTGTAATAACGCATGAATGGCGCCCGCTTGCAAAATTGGAAACTTTTTAACCTTGACCGCTCTGACCATGGCGTACGCCGCGCGACTATACGTTTACGCGTAACAATTAGAAGCGTCCCATTTACAATGCGCCCTCTCTTTAGAACATAAGGAACAAATTAACATACTTTGGTAACGAACTTTGGCATAACGCGAACACCTTATTTCAGATTCATGGTAACGACTAGGATGCCCTCCTCCAAAACTGATTACTTTTCTGTGCCAAATCGACGCTTCTATTTGTTACGGTAAATCGCGGAGAACGCTATCTTGTGTTTATAAGATCTTTGCTAGCTACCTGTATGTTTGAAACTCGAGCGTTGCGGTGTTTAAGTGTAATGTATACGATTTTAATTTTCATTCCTTGGTACTTTTATTTTTGAATAAGATGCTTCACTTGGCCTCGTTTTGGCTACAATAGTTTAATATTTTGTTATTACCATTACTCATTATCATTAATGAAATAATAGTCAGTCAGAGGGCTTATTAATATGTAATAATATGTATATACTAAGCCTGAAGGTGGCGCTTTACTACGACGGCCATCTTGGATGGTACACATACATAACCATAGAGCTATTAAACAACTAGAGTGCTGAAAAGATGGCGCAGCAATGCAGAGTTATGTATGTGTACCATCCAAGATGGCCGTCGTAATAAAGCGCTTACATATTACATATTAATAAGCCCTCTGACTGACTATTATTTCATTAATGATAATGAGTAATGGGAATAACAAATTATTAAACTATTGTAGCCAAAACGAGGCCAAGTGGAGCATCTTATTCAAAAATAAAGTACCAAGGAATGAAAATTAAAATCGTGTACATTACACCTAAACACCGCAACGCTCGAGTTTCAAACTAGCTGTACCGAACTTTCTGAGTAAATTGAGGGCGCAATTGCAAACGATGGTGCTTAGCGAAATTTGATTGGCTAAATCTATGGCAGCCAT